AGTGAGAGGGTTAGCATTGCCCATCTATGTGCAGTTTATGAATTGATGTTAAATGTATCAACTATCACAATAAGCCTTACACCAACGCATGTGACGTTCAATATGTTTTTACTTTTAAGAAAAGAATCCTATTTGGAGACATACATATTACAAGGCCTTACATCTTACCTCAATCTTAGCATTTCCACATGTCTTTCCGGTCTATAGGTTCCTCTGTGGCGAACATTTTTTGCGTTATATTGTGGATGTCTTGAAGGTCTTTTCTCATTCAACCCTTTCTCCGTGTGTATTTTGTGATTACAGCCGATGACCACAATCAAAGCCTGCTCCAGCCTCCCTCCCTGCTCCCTCCTCCCTCCCCTCGGTCCATCCCACATCTTCAAACATGGCGGTGAGTAGAGCGTAGTGGGAGGGAGGGATGAAAGCCAGAGGAAACACGCCTGGTTGAGTATTTCTTTTTACACTCCTCGTCCAACTCCAAAAGAAACCCCCCAAAAAAACGCAGCTTCCTTCCTCCCTTCACAGAGCCCCTAATCCCAGGAAAGTGCACTGCATATGCTGCTAATCCTGAGCGTGTGTGGGGCCTCTCTCTCACTCCGGACCCTAGTTTTCTCCGATTGCATTGAGTGTATTAAGAGTGGTTCTTTGCCGATGCCGGAGGGTCTAAGGGCAGTTATGATCCAGAACATTTAGTGGTCATCCTGCTTCCTTTGACCTATGGCTCCTATGTGTTTGTTATTATTGAATATCCTGTGTTCGAACTGTTGTGTTGAATCGACAACTTTGTAAAGTCCTCTGAGAAGACTGCTGTTGTGGTTTAGGTCTATACGGGGCAATGAATTGAATTGAAAGAGGTGTGAAAAAAATGAATTGCAAAGAAAATTATAAATTATAATAATTAATTGGCGCTTTATGGACACCCAAAGATGCTTCTCATGGCATTATCTAATCACTACATGCACTAGAGATAAGCTACTATACTAGCTAGTACAGCTGCCCTGGGACACATTGACAGAAGTGAGGCAACTACTATGTGCCATCAGCCCCTCCAACCACCACGAAAATATTCACACACACACATATACATTCTAGGCAATGTGGATGAAGTGTCTTGCCTATGGACACGATGACAGTTTGGCACTTTACAGCCGCCTTTGTTCTCAGAGGTCTCCCATCACAGTTCTAACCAGACCCTGTCTTGCTTAGCTTCAGAGGTCTGAGGATCTGGCTTGTCCAGCATTATTCCCTTATCGATAACAGAACTCAAATTATTTTCACAGTAATTTAACATTGATAGTCAATTTTGACCGGTAAAATCAGAGGACACAAAATTCAATACTGCAAAAATAATATGATTTAATAAACAAGAATCCAAAAACAAAACTCATTGTAAAACTCATGAACTGAAGAACAGACTCACAATGGAATGACCACAAGAGGAAAAGAGCTCAGGGGATTTATCAGGGAGACACAGGTACATCAGGGCGGGGCAATCAGCACAACAGGAAGTGAAACTCAAAAAGACACAGGAGAACAGACAGCACTAAATAAAACAGGAACTTATGACGTTGCCGATACTTTTTCAGGGTTTGTTTGGGTATTTAAAAGACATTGAATTAATTATATAAAAAAAACTTACAAAATTTACAGAAAAGAAAATAGCCCCAAAGGTAGAAGCTGGAACATACTCATGATGAAAGAACAGTTTGTAACTATTAAACTTTCTATAACCTGAAATACCAAAGTAATTGTTTATTAGATCCAAATTATTGTCCAATACTGTTTTTTTAGTTGTGTTTTCTGTGCGTTGTGTGCGTCCTATTTCCTCTCAGGTGATTTGGGACCATTCTCTGCTTCCTCATTGTCGCTGCCTCCTCCTCCTCCTCCTCCTCCTCCTCCTCCATCCTCCTCCTTCAGGCTCCTCCTCCTCCTCGTCTCTGAATAGTTCCCCGAAGCCTTTTGTCCAGTGCTGTATATGCACATGCCAAGTCAAGTTATTTCAGACTTTTCATCGGAATTACCTCCCAAATAATCTCCTTCTGCTTCAAAAAAAAAAAAAAAAATCACTAGAAAGGAAAATGAAACGCGCCCTTGACATTGAAGAAACCCAGGAATATCAAAGGCTGAGGAGAATATGCATATTTTGTCTGGTGGATCAAAGTAGGCAATAAAAAGCACCTTGGCTCTGCCTTTTATCTTCACAGCACATTTATATTACTTTAAGCTTAACACAAAATAGGACAATTTCACACGATGGCACAACATTCATAGATAGATACAGGTTTATCAATGGTGCGGCATATTCACCCTCTTTAAACATGCTATTTCTAAAAGCTTTGAATAGAATGAGACTCTTAGATCAATTGAATGGCCTTCACAAAAAATCTTTGTACTTGCCTTGAATCTCACTGGAGGTTTCTGCTTTTGTTCTGTGGTTGAGGGCCTAAAGTGGGGCAAAAAAGTACATAGTCTGTCACCATCTGTGCAAGTCCTCCCACTTAAAACGATGAGATTTCAGTTGGGGTCGACCTATGAGAATTACAAGAATAATTTTTTATTCTATATAAATAAAGATGACTTACTATTTACTTAAAGTAGCATTATGTAAGATTTTCATGTCAAGTCATCATTAAAAGGCCCTAATTGGTCAAAAGGCATTAATAAAACATGCTCTTTTCCAATACTTCTTTAACTGATAACAGTAGTTCAGAAATATTGGATTTTCAAAATTAGTTTTACAGCCTCTAAATTTTATTGTGTTCATTTCAATGTCCTCTGCATTTGACCCATCCTGATGCCGCGAAGGCTTACGTCAGGAGCAGTGGTCGCTGTAGTACAGTGCCCGGGAACCCATCTCCAGATGTTGATGCTCGGCTTGGTCAGGACTACCGGAGGTGAAGGATTTAACCTAGTGAGCATGTTTTAAAGTGGACATATCGTGTTTTCAAATAATTGATTTTTACATCTAAATCATTAATTTGTGGCCTATATAAAGCGTAACTACAATGCTTGGGTCTGAGTCTCATTATTTGTAGCTCCACGGGCCTTTCTTCTACACCTGTTCTGAGGTGCGTCTGAGAGCATCCTGTTTTGGTTTTGTCTCCTTAAATGCAAATGAGGCGCTTTTGACCACGCCCCCATCCAGGTGACACAGGTTCAACTCCACCCCGAGCGGCCATTTTTGTAGTTTCTAAGCACAGATACAATTATCTCATAGAAACTTCTCATTACATCGCAAACATGAAGCAGGCCTTCCTCATTGACTGAAAGCAAATGTTAAGTTTCATTCTTAGTCCAGTCTTATTATCGACTCTTCTCTTTTTAGCTTTGGGATCCATGCGCACAGTCTATGATGCTCACACGCCGGTTTGACAGACACGTTGACAGACATTTTTAAATTGAATATTACTTATGCACAATTTTACAGCATTTAAAAACGTTCAGAGCGTTTTTCCTTCTACAGAAGGAAAGAGACGCATGCGCCTCCGGAGCCGCAGGTTGCCGACTCCTAGTTTATACAGTATGTGGAAGCAAATACTGTAGAGGATCAGGATATGCGCAGTTTCAACAATAAAATAAAATGCAATAGTCTACATTACAAGAGAGTAATAAACATGTCTCAGAGTGAGGGAGGTGGACATAGACAACACTATTGTTTGTTACAGGGACGACTGTAATGCATATTGTCAGCCATTTGCTGGCTCTAAATCTGTTTAATTTGTTCACAACATATTACTTTTGGGCTCAAACATGAACTTTTAATGCAATGCAAAATGTAGGTATCAGAGCTTTATTTAGGGCGTTTAATCGCGCTTCGAGAGGAGAGGGGAGACGCGGACTGTTTCCTGCAGCAGTGTATTTATTGGGTGCACAGATTACTCAAAGACACGCATGGTCCTGTGCGCGTTTATGGGGTTGGGTACATGGCCACGTTGAGGCTGCGCGCTCAGCCACAACACGGTGGAGCGGCTGCGAGCGGCTGGACGCTCACAGCCTCTCGCAGCCGCTGGACGCGGAAGCTGCTCATTACAAAGCGGCCGCAGATGCCCCGGAACACTGCGGCCGCTGAGGTGGCGGAATCCCGTTCGAGTAAATACAGCAGGTGCCCCGCGGATACGCGCGCCCCGCTCGAACAATTCTCAACGGATTTACACTTCTCATAAACATGTGTTTTTTTTAGGCAGACAGACCGGCCCAAATATGGGCATCGGCCCTTTGGGCATTGCCCGGTACGCCCGATGGCCAGTCCAGCCCTGTTCGCTGGCATCCTTGAGCTTGGACTACAAATTAAGTGATGCACAGTAGAGGAGGGCTGGGCCGAAGTGTTTTGTTAGACGCCCATGCCCTTATATAGCAGTCTCGCTGCAAATACTGTGACGTAATAATTCTAAACACGTAATAGAGAATGGCAAAATCAGAACGGGTTGAAAAATCTTACCTAAACAGAATATGAAGTGTTCTCTGCAACCCATGAAGAGACTGATTTCAACTTTTTTGCACTTCTAGAGGCTCCAACTACACAACATAAGGCATTTAAGGCACAAAAAGTGGATTTTTCATGATATGTCCCTTTTAAGTGGTAGGGGTACCCGGAGGAAATCGACGCAGGCACGAGGAGAACATGCAAACTCCACTCAGAAAGACCCCGTTCCGACTGGGATTTGAACCCAGGACCATCTTGGAGAGAGTCGAGAGCACTATCCACTCAGCCACCGCGCCACCAACAATAAACACATAGAAATGTATGTGTTCATTTTTGAACAAAAATCTCTTAATTAAACATAAGAAGACAATATTAAACTTTTTACCTTCCTCTTTTTGATTTCAAAGTAACTATTTTTACCGCTCGTCATTGTCAGCCATGCCTCAAGGTTCGCGGATGCCTTCAGGGCTCCGGCGGCGAATAACCATCTGCTCCGTTGATGCCTCCACACTGTCGTATCGATAGGTTAATAGCCGCTGTGTCACATTCACTAACTCTCTGATTAGTTGACAGTTCACTAATCCACACGGCATCCTGAGTTATTGGCCGCTGCATTGATTTCTGGAGAGGCCAGAGAAGACGCGAGGGGGGCCCAGAGGTCGCCCTCCTGCCTGCTGCTATTGATTGGCCCCTGGATCAACCTGGCCCGGCTCTTCCCTTAACACACACATATATATATAGACCCAGGCTGCGGAGTTCAGTTCAATGGCTTATGATGGTCGGTCTGGTCTCCGGGTTTTAAGTCACCTCAACATCGCACCGACTTATTGGAGGTTTTGATGCATGAAGGTGTAGTGCGGCGGGATTGGATGTAATAATATCATAATGTCAAAAAGCCAATACTAACACATGAACTTGCACAGAATTGGATGCAACCGTCTGGACTGAAATGTGTTGTTTTTGATGTTAGTGATGAATAGAAAACGGCGTAGACCATGATCCTTTGCCCTGGGAAGTTTAGCTATACAGTGCTGGCTAAGTGATGTTGTCGGTCCGAGTCGAGGCTAAAGCTTAGAAACAAAAGGAATGCGCTTAAGTTTGTCTAAGTTTGTCTCAGAGGATGCCACTGCTTGGTCTGAGGATAACCTGTGGGGTCCTTGCTGTGACCATGTTCCTACTGATGGTATGTAAAGGCATGGTGAGATTATTTGTATAGCACAGTTCATACACAAGGTAACTCAAAGTGATTAACAAAACAAGAGAAAAACAATCACGCAGGACATTAAAATAATCACAGTACATTAAAGATGCAGTCAGTGATTTTTTTCAGACGCATTTTTTTTAAATATTGTGGGAAAACGTCCCTAAACCCTAAAAGTAGCCAAGTTATCATGTGTTTTCAAATAGTAACCACCGTGCTGCTGAGTGGATAGCACTCTCGCCTCTCAGCAAGAAGGTCCTGGGTTCAAATCCCGGTCGGACCAGGGCCTTTCTGAGTGGAGTTTGCATGTTCTCCCCGTGACTGCGTAGGTTTCCTCCGGGTACTCCGGTTTCCCCTACCACTAAAAATATGTACAATAGGTCTAGCATGCGCCTCCTGTTCGGCGACCCCGCTCCCATCTCTGTGTGGAGTGAGAGGACAAGTGCCCAAAAATAACAATTGTAAACCGCTTTGTGACTCTGGTCTGTGAAAAGATTACTTACTTACTTACTTAGTAATGGAATTGACCAGATGCCTATAGATTTGTTCATCTCTAACGAACCAATGGGATGCTTTTACCTCCTTCACCCTTATCCTGTTTCTCGCGAGTGAGTGCACCTGAGTTATCGGATTTTCAAAAACTTTAAATGGCTGAACAGAAAATTGCCGCCCACTCTCCCTGTTGTAACAAAGAAAAGAAAATGCTGGATGTTTGGTTTGGTGGAGAGGGAGGGGAGGGGGGAGTGGTTTCCAGCTACGGCTAAGCTATCAAAATCGCTTGCTGCACCTATAAAAGCAGCTAAACAGAACTGTTTTTATCCTGGATTTGACCAAAATAGGCCAAATACATTGTGATAAAACCAAATTGTTTTGAGAGCTTTAATGGTAAATACTGATTTGATTACATGGTTACTACACTGCAAAAAATGATAAAATATGAAGCAATATTTGCATGAATTGAGTGGTTTGTATCTTCCTTTGAGTCTAAACAAGAATTTGCCAATGGGACAAAGCCATTTAGAAGTTTTTCAAGAACCGTTTTCTCAATCCAAGTGAGACATTTCTTGTATATTTTTAAAACAAAATTATTTTGCTTTGTCACATTGGTAAATCTTGTTTAAGGCAGTCAAAATGTGCTCAAATTAAGATACATTTGGCCAAACTTGAGAAATATTTACTTATAGACTACTACAGTACCTGCTGCTACTTAAATACAAGTAATACACACTCACAGACTCACATGCACTTTCACATCAGTCTGGAGCAAGTCAGAGTCTAAAACACTTCTCCAGCACCTCGGACAGCGACAACAGCCTCCCCTAGACACCCCTTTGAAAACATCTCTGATCTTTAACAACACATGAGGTCAGATGGATGCATTTCAGACTGAAAGTGAGAAGCTCTTTGCCCACACGCCGCCTCCTCCTCTCCCTCCTCCCCCCACGCTCGCCATGGCTCTGGACCACGGCCGGGTCGAAGTGTTCACATGTGTTCACAAAGACAGTCGTGTGTGGGTAGATTTAGAAGCAAGGGATCAATGAGAAATGTGGAAATCAATGCACTTAGCGGCGGGGGATCGATGTGGCCTAATCGGGATGCCAATGCCACAAGTCAAAACAATTAAGAAGGAAGAAAAATGTTTAACAGCTCCGCGGGCCCCAGAGGGAGACGGACGAGCTCCCGCGGCTCTGTGGGTTTGTGGATGTGGTGGGATTAAAGGACATAACTTCTCTGTTTGAGCTGGCAGTCGCAGGATTCTTTCATGGTCAGCTACTAGTACAACCAAGGTACTGTTGTTTGAAGTATGTGTGTGATATGGTCCGGTATTTTATTGATTGACTGCGGAACCTTCCGCAGTCAACCATTGGTTTTGTATTTCTTTATTCCGTCATTTTTTTTGACACGTTTCACAGCTTTCACATTTTCAACAATTTCCACAAGTTATACATCAAAACGTTCCACATGTTTGGGAGATTATTGCTATTACTTTTGGGACTTCAGCGATTTCCGGTTTTTCCGCAATCGGACAAAAATCTGCATTGAGAATTCTGCAATGCATTTTAATAGGCCCATGCATTTTAATAGGACTTCAGCTCTTTCAGACATTTCTACAGTTTCAATGATTCAACAGTTTCAAGGATTCAACAGTTTCAAGGATTTCAGCAGTTTCAAGATTTCAAGAGTTTCAAGGACTTCAACAGTTTCAAGGACTTCAGCAGTTTCAAGGACTTCAGCAGTTTCAAGGACTTCAGCAGTTTCAAGGACTTCAGTGTAATCATGCAACCTAATAGGGATTTTTCCATGTAAACCAGTATAATGCAACTTAATAGGGATTTTTCCATGTAAACCAGTATAATGCAACTTAATAGGGTTTTTTCATGTAAACCAGTATAATGCAACTTAATAGGGTTTTTTTTCATGTAAACCAGTATAATGCAACTTAATGGGGATTTTTCCATGTAAACCAGTATAATGCAACTTAATAGGGGTTTTTACATGTAAACCAGTATAATGCAACTTAATAGGGTTTTTTCCATGTAAACCAGTATAATGCAACTTAATAGGGTTTTTTCCATGTAAACCAGTATAATGCAACTTAATAGGGGTTTTTCCATGTAAACCAGTACAATGCAACTTAATAGGGATTTTTCCATGTAAACCAGTATAATGCAACTTAATAGGGTTTTTTACATGTAAACCAGTATAATGCAACTTAATGGGGATTTTTCCATGTAAACCAGTATTATGCAACTTAATAGGGATTTTTCCATGTAAACCAGTATAATGCAACTTAATAGGGATTTTTCCTTGTAAACCAGTATAATGCAACTTAATAGGGTTTTTTTCATGTAAACCAGTATAATGCAACTTAATGGGGATTTTTCCATGTAAACCAGTATAATGCAACTTAATAGGGTTTTTACATGTAAACCAGTATAATGGAACTTAATAGGGGTTTTTACATGTAAACCAGTAATAATGGAACTTAATAGGGGTTTTTACATGTAAACCAGTATAATGCAACTTAATAAGGATTTTTACATGTAAACCACTATAATGTAACCTAATAGGGGTTTTTACATGTAAACCAGTATAAAGCAACTTAATAGGGATTTGTACATGTAAACCAGTATAATGCAACCTAATAGGGATTTTTCCATGTAAACCAGTATAATGCAACTTAATAGAGATTTTTCCATGTAAACCAGTATAATGCAACTTAATAGGGATTTTTCCATGTAAACCAGTATAATGCAACCTAATAGGGATTTTTCCATGTAAACCAGTATAATGCAACCTAATAGGGATTTTTCCATGTAAACCAGTATAATGCAACCTAATAGGTTGCATTATACCACCAGACCAAGACCCAAACGAAGACTCAGACCACCACCAGATAATGACCACAGACCAGGTTTCCTTAGTTACAGGAACCAAATTGTTTCAGCGGTGAGGGGATTTTTCAGTTTCAAGGACACTTTCAATACATTCAGTAGTTTCAAGGATTTCAACTGTTTAAGAATTTAACCAGTTTCAAGGATATCAGGAGGTTCAAGGATTTCAGGAGTTTCCACACTTTAACAGTTTCCAGGTTTAAAAAAAGTTTCAAGGATTTCAGGAGTTTCAATGTTTCAACAGTTTCAAGGATTTCAGGAGTTTAAAGGTTTCAACAATTTCAAGGACTTCAGGAGTTTCAAATATCTATCAAGTATTTTAACAGTTTCAAGGACTTCAGGAGTTTCAAATATCTATCAAGTATTTTAACAGTTTCAAGGCCTTTTAAAGGATTTCAAGGATTTTTTTTAGCAGATTTCCACATTAGATCTGTTCCGCAGTCAATCGCAATGGCTTCAGCCATTGCAAGTTTCTAGTATTACATTCGAACCATAATTCCAATACACATTTATTTGTATCTCTTGCCTGTTTGTCTCTGAATCCTTTTTACAACATATAACACATTTCATTTAAGGTTAAGTAGAGATCCGATATTTGTCCCACAGTGGGGAAATTTCAGTGTTGCATCATCAGTTACAGAAAAGTAGGAATGAGGAACACACGGCCAAAATTAAGCAAACAATAACTTTAAAATTTTGAAAAAAAATAAGATCTGTAATAATGAAGCAAGTATAAAATCTGCATCAAATCCAGTTTCGATTTAATTTTTATTTTCGACTGTAATTGTTAACACGCCTGTTTTCTGTTTTTAAATAGCACACACACTCAAAGATGCTCCACATGTCATTATGCATTCACTCCATACACTACTATAGCTACAGCTGCCCTGGGGCACACTGAAAGAAGCTAAGCAAACAGTAAATGTAATCAACCCCTCTCGCCACCACCAACCCTTCACACACCAGACTCATTCTAATGTGAGTGAAGTGTCTTGCCAAGGACACAACCACAGTTTGGCACTTTACAGCCACAGCCGCCCCACTGTGGCTCCCAGAGGTCTCCCATCACAATACTAACCAGGCCCTGTCCTGCTTAGCTTCAGAGGTCTGACAGGATCTTGCTTTCACATGCAGGAGGAGCTACATTCCATTCACTTACTTACATCTAGAATCCCATTTCCCTGAAGCTAGAGAATTAATAGTCACAGCGTAACAAATACTACTTCTTCCAATCGGTTTAAGCCCCCTCTTGCACATATACACACAGACACACAGACACACACAGACACACAGACACACACACACACACACACACACTGTCACACAGAGGATCACAGAGTCCAGACCCGGAAAGCCTCAGCGTATCATGGGCTTTACCTGGAGCTGTGATGTGGCGTTTTCGCTCGGCTAAGCGCTTTGCTCCTGTCCGCTCCGGCTGCTCTACATGTGTCCGCACAGATCTGTTTGCATGCGGCGCCAGAGTCTTACGCCTGGAATCTTCCGGGCTTTTGATTTTGTACAAATCTGTGGGGTTGCTTTTCATCTCGGCCTTTGGGTCAGTCCGCCGCATACGCACTGGACAGGCCGAACGTGAGAGAAATGTAAACGAGAATCCAAACAGAAATATGTAAACATTGCAAATCAAACGTCAATCTAAAGAAAGTACAGAAATCAGACATCTTTGATTACACCACGCATTCTGATAAAACGGACTTTCAGAGCTATAGCTTTTTAGAAACTGTTCAAATCAAGATGTTCTGATAATATGTGTTTTGTGTGATGTTTTGTTATTCTAGAGTTTAATAAGGTTTGTCGATCAGACCTGTCAGAAATACATGACCTCATATATTCAATTCAATGCATTTTTGTATAGCCCTAAATCATAACAGCAGTTATCTCAGATGACTTAAAGTTGTTGATTCGCCAACAAAGATCAGAGAATCTTAACCGTTCAAACTCAGGAAATGCAAAGATAAAAAACACATAGAATCATTGGTCCATAAAGGGGCGGATGCAGAAGGCAATTTATTCGAGATTATGAATTTGCGAACCCCGGGTCTAAACCCTGTTGGTGACGATGAGGGTGAAGAAGTGGTGATGGGGAGGAGGTGGGTTGCTGCACAAACTGCAGCTTAAAGCATGGACTGAGAGGCTCTGTTTAAATGTCTTTAAGTCTGACATGTGAGACCACTCAGAACCAGTCTTGTCTGAATGTCCACATGATCTGCAGAAATCTTTTCCATTTGAAACAATTGAATCATCTTAGTTCGCATCAGTTATAAAGTTAAATTGTATTCGTTACAATCTAACGTGTTGTTGGCTTGCATTGGTGGTTGTAATTCCCATTGCCACCAGTAGACAGAAGTGAGAGCTACGTTTGGCTGAATCTACTGCTGATATATCATTACATTGTCTTGTCATTGTTTCACTAAAGAACAAAAAAATTGGTAAAAAATTGCTCAAATTTGTCAAAATGTATTTTAATTTGAGCACATTTTGACTGCTTTAATCCACTCCATTCATGTCTTGGTGTGGGATTTTTTAATTAGTTCTCTGTGGTTTGGTTCTAGTTGTACTTCCTGTCTTGTTCCCCTGTCTTGATTGTCTGCCCTGATGTGTTTCACCTGCGTCTCTGTCTATATGTACCCTGTGATCCTCTCCCCTTGTTGCTGGTCCATTGTATCGTTTCAGTTTTTTCTGTGTTCCTGGTTCCTTGTTCCTGCGTTTCAGTTTTGGATTCTGATTTTGTTTTTACCTTGGACATTATATTTATCTTTGTCATTAAATCATTATTTTGCATTCTCGCATTTTGAGTCCTCCATCTCCCCACCACGTGACAATTCAAGCATTTAAAACCTCATATTTTATCATTTTTGCAGTGCATGGAAAGAGATTGAAAATGTTTTGTGAATATACATGTAAGTTGATATATGCAGTCTTGATGGCGACACCAGGTGGGATGAAAGTGTCAGAAATAACCCTGCGTTTTATTGTGAGAGTTACTGGTCGAGCAACTAAATAATACATCAGTCTCACATCTGGATCATTACGTTTTAAGAGCCAGTTGGGGATACATGGCTTTGTCCAACAACTGTGACCTCGTAAATTTATAAAAGTCTATTCTTTCGGCAAAAATTTCCTGACAACAATCAAACTTCAGTGGCTTTTGTGCTCAAGGCAGTATTCGTCTGCTTTATTACAGGATTGCTTATCATCAGCACAATAGCAACCCGCTGTTCTCTGGCTGTTTATATCGATGACAAATCCTGTAATAATCCGTTTCAGGCTGATGTGGGCCGTGCTTCAGTCACTTAGAAATGATGAATCTAAAGAAGCGGCAAAAGACACATGAAAACTAGTGATAGAAAGAGAGAAAGAAAATTGCTGCTATCAAAATACATCTCTCTCTTCCTCTCCCTCTCTGTTCTCTATCTCTCTCTCTGGTCTCTCTCTGGTCTTTCTTTCTCTCTGGTCTCTCTCTGGTCTCTCTCTTGTCTCCCTCTGGTTTCTGGTCTCTCTCTTTCTGGACTGCCTCTCTCCCTCTGGTGTCTCTCTTCCTCTGGCCACTCTCTCTCTAGACTCTCTCTGGCTTCTCTCTCCCTCTGGTGTCTTTCTCCGTCTGGTCTCTCTCTCTCTAGTCTCTCTCTAGTCTTTCTCTGGCCTCTCTCCCCCTCTGGTCTCTCTCTCCCTCTGGTCTCTCTCTCTCTCTACTCTCTCTCTGGCCTCTCTCTCCCTCTGGTCTCCCTGGTCTCTCCCTCACTCTCTGATAAAGTTGGTGTACCTAGCTTTCAACCCACAAAAAATGTAGCTATGTAATAAAATCTAGTACGTTCTTAGCTCTCAAAACATGCATGTATTTTTCCCGCTGTCACAACAAGATTAAGGTTAAGATAATCTATTTTAGACAATAATATTAACTTAATAAGAGTCGAGCACCCTCACTCACCCGCAGCTCTCAGGCCAAAGCATCAAATTGGCAAGGCAAGTTTATTCGTATATTGCACAGTTCATAGAGAAAATGAACATTAAAAGCACACACAGCGATAACATCATAAATAATCACAGTGCATTAAAAGAGTGAAGATATAACCCCTCAGTTGTAGCACAGATAAACAGAACTGTTTTTAACCTGGGTTTGAACAATGTGAGAGTTGTAGCCTGTCCCACATTTTCAGGAAGACTGTTCCAGATTTTTAATGCATACATCTGAAATGCTGCCTCCCCCTGTTTAGTCCTGGTTAGTCCCTGTGCTCCTCAGAGTCCACATTGGTTCATATGTCTCAATCACTGGTGGAGGCAGAGGCTGGTGGTGTAGATTGGCTGCCTCGCTTACATCAGTCTACCCCAGGGCAGCTCTGGCTATAACAGGGGACTACAGGTGTAAATTAGCACTGCTGCTATAACCTGGTACAATGCATCTCTCCTCTTGGCTAATGTTTATTGTACACTGTCCCTGTGAAAATAAAAACCATACTTTAAAATCCTATTATAACGCATAAGGAGCGAATGAAGAGCTACAGTATGGGCCCAGGACAGCTGCTGTATAAACACTTCCTTTCTCTTAAAGGTTATGAAAATAGATAAAATCATTCAACCTCGTAACAATAATAATTCTATGTGGACAAAGCTAAGTACCTCCTTGTTCAGTCAGAACGGGGGAAAGCGGATCTTCTCTCTTCCCTTTCGGCGCAGAGTCCTGCGGCTCTCGAGGCATTGATCGTTGACGGTGATCGTATCAAGATGTGAATTGACAGCGCGGTGTTTTACTTTGTCTGTTTGTGCTCCGCGGCCTTAAGAGGAATAATGGACGTGTTGGAGAGCTATTGGCAGCTCCGGACTGGCCTATCGACAACCTGTCAGCATTGATTACTTAGTCCGAGTCCGAGAGTATCGCGGAGACTCTGGGACCAGGAGGCGAGAGAAAAAAAAATGGACTTTATATCATTATGACAGATGTGGAGAAAAGGGCATCCACAATAAATATATTAGGCGTTAAATCGTAATAATAATAAAACTCATGGTTACCCTTGAATTCATGAGCAATAATAAATACAACGGTGTGTATGGCGGGTTAAACGTTTCACTAAAACACAGCTTTAGGCGCCACAGCAGTGGAATTTTTACTAGGACACTCTCTGTACAGCATCCTGGCTTCCCACAAACATTTCCCTGTCTTTTATTTACGTAATTCCCGATCTCTATTAAAGGGCTCTATTATTGGTCTGTTTCACGTAAACTACTACTTCTAAAGTTACCCTTTGGAACAACTTAGTAACTAGATACATGATTTTAAAAAAAAAATACATATGATTCTATTACAAAATAATATATATTAAAAAAAGAAGTATGCGGAAGAAAACCCAGAGAAAGCAATGGGAAAGAGGTGTAGGGTCAGAGAGTGTTTGAGCCTCTGTTTATGTGTGTGTGCGTGGATGTGGGTGTGTGCCTAAAAAATTTTGTAAAACAATATTTTAGGAAACTTTTTATATTACAGAATTCCCAACCAAAAATCATATGTAGTCAAACCCTATGCAGAGAGTTTAGTCTCTAGCTCAACTCCAACAGGTTGTTTTCATGCGTGAGTGGGGTTAAGATATCATAATGTTGGATAGTGATATCCATCTAAAAGTTGCGCAATGATTTTGATATATTTATGTATACACTTCATGCAGGCGCACAGTGACGAATCCGCGCCACGCTAGAGTGGAGCATGTGGGGGAAAAAGCGAATGATGAAGAGACAAATGCAGTCCAATGCAGAGAGGAACTTTTTCCCAAAAGCTTTATACTTTTTGGCACAACCACCATGAACTCGTAGTGCAAGGGAAAAATTACATACTCCAGCTTTAATTTAGCGAGTTTAGTTGCGCTTCGGGAGGAGACACGGAGTCGACACGGACACTTCCTGAAGCTCCATAGTGCAGCTTCAGCGGTGCATTTATTGCACGCACAGGTTACAAAAGACACGCACACAACAAGCAGAGAATAGTTCTGTGCGTGTCTGGTCTTGGATCGCGTTGCATCGGCGCCGTTCGTCGTGTTGTTGTCAAAGCGGCTCACAGCCGCTGGAGGTGAGAACCGCTGTCCAGAACAGCCGCAGCTGCCCAGGGTCAGAACACTGCGGCCACAAAGGATCCCGTTTGAGTGCTGCACTCTCGGCCTCATACACATGCATGTTTGTACCGCAATGAATGAAAAAAGTAACGTGCGTTTATTGCGATAATTTTGACAGCCCTAATATATATAATATATACATCCACAGTCCACACATGTGAAACATCGGTTTCGGCCCAAAATTTCAAAATTGGTGCATTCCTATTTAAAACTGGTATAAAATCATTCAAACTTGGAAAACAAGTTTTCCCGATGATGAATAATATTACTGTTGAGAAATAGCTGCCAACCAACTTCAGATTTTGATCATGTCGTGAGCCTCAGTCGCTGTTTATAAGATGTAACATGATCTATGGAAGCCTGGAAGGTCCATCCCTGCAGCGGTGGTGTTGTGGCACTATAGCCTTATTTTAGCTCAGCTCTGGCCTCTTTCATTTGTTTTCCTTCTGTCAAAAGC